TGGTACTAGCTAGCAAATGATAGTTTTGGGAATTGCACAATAATGTAATTGGAGTATACACTAATTGCACACACAATATAAAAGGGACTAAAATAAGTAGTGGTAAACATAATTAAATGGGCAAGTACAGTGGACCCCCGCATAACGATCAGCTCCCAACTCGACCAGTTATGTAAGTGTATTTTTTATTTTTGTAAGTGCTTTTGTAGGTGTATTTTTGGGGGTCTGAAACGGACTAATCTAATTCACAATATCTCTTATGGGAACAAATTCAGTCTATAACGCACTCAAACAGACTTCTGGATTGAAATAATATCGTTATGCAAGGGTCCACTGTACTTACATAAATATTTTGTCATCTGTCTTGGCCTTGATGACCATCAGAAGTTTGGTCAAGCTTTCACTGAGTCCTGAAGTAATCACTGGATAACTGGTTGAGCCATGTCCTTGATCTACTGCTGCAAGCTGTACATCAACGACATGGATGAATTGTGGCAGGATTCCATTTTTTAAATGATATTCCAGATATTCTGAGTAGGATGGAGGTTTGGCTCTTTCTTGGCTACTGTAAAATTTCAATATTTTTCTCAGTAAGCCACTTGGGTACTTTTGTGACTTTGTGACGGGGGCACTGTTGTGCATGAAGATGGCACAGCCTCCATTATAATCAGTAAAAATTCACATTGCATATTTGGTGTTATACATCAGGTCCTTGAATGACATCTCTTTCAACATCGTTTCATTCTAACATTGATGAGAAAAAAAATGGAATGAATACATTACAAATTGCTGTAAAATAAAAATTTATATAGTATATGATAATCATTTTCTTTAAATTAAAGTCAGTTTCCAAAAACCTATCAATGATGTTAAGTGAAGACTCTCAGTACTTCATCTGAATGTTTCCTGGAGATATCTGTCAACTCTTGAGTTAATATAAGAGACTGCAGTGTGCATCACCTCTCAGTGTGCCTGTATATGGCAGTGAGATAAGGTGTTCCTGTTGCATTGCTGTAGCAAGTGCCCAGGATTTGGAGATGTATTTATTTCCATGTAATTTTTGTGCCAAGTAGATAAATATGAGTTGTTGAAAGATGAATAGTGAAGAAAAAGCCTGTACAGTATATTGGGTTGGGGAAGCGACAATGTCACCATAAAGGAACTTTGTTAGTGTACTGGATGAGCAAAGTTCAGCATAATAGTGTTACTTGCTGCTGTCTGTGGCTTCCCACTGGACATCATCCCCACTAGAAAACCTAATACTGGGCAGCCAAAGAAAACACCTGATCATGCAGATAACATTCTATGCAGAGAACCATATGCAATCCTTATTTGACTGCATCACAGCTGAAAGAATTTCATCCTTAACTGCTGAGGGACCTCTTGATTCAGTGTATCCTTCAGCACCTGCAAAAGAACTTCAACCTGCAAAGTTGTCGTGCTGCAACTAAACTCCTACTCTCACCCTGTTTGAAGAAGGAACACTTGCAGTTTGCCAGGAAATGTGTGCACTGAAGTGTTCATGATGGGAAAAAGTTGAGTGGTCAGATGAATCCACATTTCAGTGTATTAAAGGTCGTGAGAGCAAGGTGAGGCACCCCTCCTCCATCAGCAGGTATGACCCAGCATATATAGTGAGCAGCGTAAAGCGTAAACAATCCGTTATTTGATGAATGGTTCAGAGATCTGACAAGTTGATAAATTAGACACATGTGCAACACTTGGGTATCTTTAATGAGGAAACATTTCGGCACACAGTGGCTTCATCAGTCGGTTCTCTGAACCATTCATCTACATTCCTGTCAGACACAGCAATATCTTGGGATCTTAATACAGGGAATTCTTCACTTGCCTAACCTTCAGGCGTGACCTACTTCCACATTTGGATTTGTCAAATGTGCACCTCACCTGCCTACAGTATATAAGCCACTTCTTTGCACATATGCTGTATTCTTTTCAAGATTGATGGACTGATGAAGCCACTGTGTGGCAAAAAGTTTCCTTATTAAAGATACCCAAGTGTTGCACATGTGTCTAATTTATCAGTCCATCATTGTTTGGGGTTGCTTAGTGATTTGCTCTGTCATGGGCATTTGTATTTCCTTTTTAAGATGTTTCAAAGAGTTTTGACCGCTACATCAATTTCGAGGACCACTTGCAGAATATTTTCAAAATTCACGGCTTTACCACCTTAATGCATGAGAGCGCTCCCTGTCACAAGGTCAAAAAAGTAACCAAGTGGCTTGCTGAGAAAAATATTGAGGTTTCAGAGTAGCCAGGAAATATTTTAGACCTCCATCCTATTGAGAATGCTTGGAAGATCATGAAAAAGATGCAATCCTGCCACATTTTAGCTGTCCTTGATCTACTGCTGCCAGCAATAGATCAGTTACATGGGTCTACTAATTATCCATTGATTACTTATGAGTGAAAGCTTGTCCAAACAACTTTAAATGGTCATCAAGGCCAAGAGGGAGATGACAAAATATTAATGCAAGCACCAAGTTTTACAGTTTTTGTTCTGTAATTTTTTGCATTGTTGCTTTTTAACTATTTTCTTAATAATAATAAAGGGGAAGTCAGTCAATATTTATTTCCATGTGATACATCATTTATACAAAGTTGGATAGCATTATATCAGTCACATGGAAAGTCCCTTAGTTATACAGAGAATTTCTAGCAAGGTTGAACCTAACTTATTTCTAGATAACCAATTGCCAGCACACTCAACTCACACTGAGGTCTATGGTTCGATCCCCAGTATGGGTGTAAACATTAGGACATGTTTCTTTAAGATACCTGCTGTCCCTGTTCACCCATCAGTAAAATGGGTACCTGGGTGTTAGTTGACTGGTGAGGTTCACATCCTGGGACAAAATTGACCTAATTTACTAAAATGCTCTGCATAACAAAGGGCTTTCTATATAGCAGTATGTCATTGATATCAGCTATGGTTTGTATACCTTGCACGTGTAGAAATAAAGATTATTATTATATTTATATAAGACTTGATAGGAGTGAATGGAGACAAATGGTTTTTAATACTTGACGTGCTGTTGGAGTGTAAGCAAGGTAACATTTATGAAGGGATTCAGGGAAACCGGCAGGCCGGACTTGAGTCCTGGAGATGGGAAGTACAGTGCCTGCACTCTGAAGGAGGGGTGTTAATGTTGCAGTTTAAAAACTGTAGTGTAAATCACCCTTCTGGCAAGACAGTGATGGAGTGAATGATGGTGAAAGTTTTTCTTTTTCGGGCCACCCTGCCTTGGTGGGAATCGGCCAGTGTGATAATAATAAAAAAATAAAAAAAAAGACTTGATTGATATTCACAGTAACATAGATTAAATAGATATGTTTCAAATGTATACAAAGCAGATAAAATCTTAGAAAGGTACAAGAGAAGAAGAATATTTAGTTATGTTATATTAAAAGTATTCAGTAATGCACAGTAAAATTGTGATAAAATTTGCAATAAAGATGAAGCTCGTAACTTGAATTGACACAAAATGTGAAGAGATATTATATCCATATTTAGTAATAAATGAGAATTAAAGTAAGGATGGAACGATAGTAGATGAAAGACAATGTTCAGCATTTGTTTGAATGATGACGAAAGTGTTTTTTCTCTCTTGGGTCGCCCTGCCTTGTGGGAAATGGCACAGTGTTAATAACAAAAATGGTTTTCAGGAACATCTTAAGGTAATTAGGTGCTGTTTAACAGTAGCTGTGAAGTGGTTGGCAGACAGGGAATCTCTGGAATCTTCTGGCAAGGAGTTCTAGATTGTAATTCTTCTTGTACTCTTGTGTTTTAACACAGGTTGAGTCTGACACTGGGGATATCACAGGTGTTTTAATACAGGTTGAGTCTGACACTGGGGATATCACCTGTGTTTTAACACAGGTTTAGTCTGACACTGGGGATATCATGGGTGTTTTAACACAGGTTGATCTGACACTGGGGATATCACCTGTGTTTTAACACAGGTTGAGTCTGACACTGGGGATATCACGGGTGTTTTAACACAGGTTGAGTCTGACACTGGAGATATCACCTGTGTTTTAACACAGTTTGAATCAGACACTGGGGATATCACAGGTGTTTTGTGTCTAGTATTATGCCTGTGAGCTCTGTTGTAGCTTAAGGGAGGTGTCAGGGCAGGAGTGATATTATTAGTGCAGCCACTGTGTACTGTTGTTGTTGTTGCTTCCTCTATATATACTGTTGTTGCTTCCTCTATATATACTGTTGTTGCTTCCTGTATACTGCAAGTTGTTACATTTGATTATTAAAGTTGTAATGTGTTTAGTAAGCAAGCACCTGAAGCAACGAGTGACACAAACACTCATACACACCCATGTTACATGTGTTTTATCCCAAGTGTTAATTTGTCATTACTAATTCTAATACTCTTAACCCTTAAACGGTCCAAACGTATATATACGTTTCCTTTGTCATTCAACATTGGCACGATAAAAGCCTGAGTCTCCTAGACATGAGAGAATGGGTGTGCGCACTCACTGCGCACCATATGAAAAAAATTGGGGATGCCTGGGTACCATATGCTCTATTTTCGTATTAAAAAAAAAAAATTCTCAAAAAATTTGGGGTGCTACGCGAGAGAACGTATATATACGTTTGGACCATTTAAGAATTAAGCATCATGTATTGTGTGTATCACCATTATTTTTCAAGCCAGGGTTCGCCTGTTTAATTGTCTTTATTAGTGAATTTAAAAAAAAAAAAAAAAAGTGTCTTGTATTAAAAAATAAAAGACTGGAGCAATGCACAAATAACCTGCATATAGGAGAATGAAACCTATGATGATGTTTCAGTCTGATTTAGACCATTAACTAGTGACTATTTAATAGTCCAAGTCAGACTGGAACATAGTCATAGATTTCATTCTCCCATGTGTGAATTATTTGTATCTCGGATTAAGAAGGGATTGGTTGCTGTGTGAGTGAAGTTGTAATATACTACTTATAAGTTATCATTGTAGATCACGGTCCAAGTCACGAGAGAGGGAGAGCCGGCCATCTCAGCAGGGACGAGACCACTCTGGCAGGAGTCATGGAGGCAGAGATCAAGTTAGTCAAGGTAATGTGCACAATGTAATACAATCACAAACGTTACAGAATAAGCCAAATAGGGATGAAAATCTTTAGCTCTAGATCTTTTGCATGCTCGTGTATCATCAGGGGCTAAACAATGTTGCAAGAGAGCAACAGATAGGAGGGGAAATTTTCTAAGGCAAAGCAGACAGTATCAGTGGCAGCCCATGACAGTGTATGTGGACAGTCCCCCATAGTGATGTGTTTAATTCTTGGCACTATGTTCTTATTAGTTGACTTCATGTTTTTCTAATTAGTCTTATTACTAATTAAAGCCAAAGACAAAGAGATATATTTTTTTGGCTGTCACAGTTCTATAATGCAAGAAACAAAACCTAATATAAACCTTGGACTCTCCATGGGAAAATGGAGAAGAATTCTTCCTCCCTAAGCTATGCATGTCGTAAGAGGCAACTAAAATGCTGGGAGCAAGGGGCTAGTAACCCCTTCTCCTATATAAATTATTAAATTTAAAAAGAAATACTTTTGTTTTTCTTTTTGGTTACCCCGGCTCAGTGGGATACTGCCAGTGTGTTGAAACAAGCTTAAATCTTTGACATGTATTCTAACCAATTGTTTGAAAATAACACTTGAACAAATGCTAGGACACATTTGTTAGGAAACCTATCATTCCTGGGACTTAGATGACTTCTAGCACACAGAGGTCAAGACTAATAATAATATACGTATTTAAGCTGAGAGAGAGAGGTAATGACCTGATGACTGAGAGTGAAGTTTTAAGATGGTACAAGGCTGCCTGTGCAGTCACATGATTACTGTGTCGTGAGGAATATAATTTATGCCAGTGTTGCTGACATTTTGTAGCGTCCTGTATTATATTCCACGGTGTTAGTGACTGTGTGAAGTTGAATGTATGAGTGACTGTAAAGTTGAAGGTACGAGTGACTGTGTCAAGTGGAAGGTACAAGTGACCATGTCAAGTGGGAGATACAAGTGAATACGTCCAGTGGAAGGTATGAGTGACTGTAAAGTCGAAGGTATGAGTGACTGTGTAAAGTTGAAGGTACGAGTGACTGTAAAGTGGAAAGTATGAGAGATAAGTTGCTACTTCTCTCTCGCCTCACTGTTGTTCTTGACCTTTGTTTATTAGAAGTGATCAACATATTAGGACTGTAAACGTCTTAGTTTTGTTCATGTGTGTTTTTAAACCAAGTCAGTTATTACATTTTACATACAGCAAGTGTGTATGAGCCTGTTCGGTAAGAGTGAGCGGAGCCAAACAGTTTTTGGGACTCTGTGAGCTGTTGGAGTATAAGCATTGTAACATTTTGTGAAGGGATTCAGGGAAATCAGTTAGCCAAACTTGAGTCCTTCAGGTGGGAAGTACAGTGCCTGCACTCTGAAGGAGTGGTGAGGATATTTTGGAGTTAGGAGAGGCATCTGAACTGTAGTATCTGTGTGCCTCTGTCAAGACAGTGAGTGAATGATGGTGACATTGTTTCTTTTTTGTTTCACCCTGCCTTGGTGAAATTAATCAGTGTGTTCGTTTTTTCAATGAATCAGCCATATCCCACCAAGGCAGGGTGACCTTAACCCTTTCAGGGTCCAAGGCCCAAATCTGGAGTCACGCACCAGTGTCCAAGAATTTTCAAAAAAAAAATTTGTTATTTTTTCTTGTGAAATCGTAGAGAATCTTTTTGTGAAGGTAATAAAACAAAAAGTACAAAATTTGGTGGAAAATTGACGAAATTATGCTCTCGCGAATTTTGATGTGTCAGCGATATTTACGAATCGGCGATTTTGCCGACTTTGACTCCCATTTTAGGCCAATTACATTATTCCAATCAACCAAATTCTTAGCTATTTCACTAGTATTACTTCTATTCTATCGATTGAGCACAAGAAATCGTCAAGTCAACTGTTTCAACTACAAAATAAAGTGATCGGAAATTGTTAATTTGGCCAATTTAACACAAAGTTCAAAATATTCCAATTTCAAAATAGGGTCCAGAATGAACAATGTAGGCATTCCTGGCACTAAACTAACATTTCCTCTGTTCATTAGTTATGTTTTGAGGCTTTACAAATAAATTCCATTTTGATTTTTTATTCACATAATGAATTTTTATTCACACCAAAAAATAGAAGATTTACTGTTATGCAATACTGTAATAATTGTATAAATATCATCACCATATTTGTGAATGTATATTAGACCCACCAGCTGACGTGTATTAGACGTGTGAGGTCGTTTGTTTACTCTTGAATATCGGCAAAAATTTAACATTTCCGCTACTTTGAGCTCAGTTTCAAGCCATTTCCAATGCTAAAACCAATCAAAATCATCTCTATTTCTGTAATATGTCTTCCATTCTATCAAATGAGACCAAGAAATCGCAAATACAACTATAAAAAACATACGAAAAAACACTGCAAAGTTGCTGTTTTAATCGAAAAATCATGATTTCATTTTTTTTCTCTCATTATACACAGTGTGCTGCAGGATCTGTTTTATGTGGTGCACACATACCACATAGATGTATTCTCTCATATCTAGGCCCAAATGTACCACTCACAGTTTATCAGAGTGAGCTGAGCTCATGGCGTAGATCTACGGTTTGGACCCTGAACGTAAAGCCGTAGATCTACGGGACGGACCCTGAAAGGGTTAAAAAGAAAAATGAAAGATTTTCTTTTTAAATTTAGTAATGTATACAGAAGAGGTAACTAGCCCCTTGATCCTTGCATTTTAGTCGTCTCTTACGACACGCATGGCTTACGGAGTAAGAATTCTGTTTCATTTTCCAATTGTTTATGTAGTCTCTATGCAGTAGGGCCCCGCATTATGGCATTCCGCTAATACGGACATTTCAAATTATAACCAAAACTCACTATACAGCTCCACCTACCAATTTGTTAACATTTTCCTTGAGCTCCGTGTCTCTCCATTATGTCTGGAAACTTTCAAAAATTTCAAGTGTTTTAAAGTTATTTCATGTTTTATATATCCGTATTTTTTTTTTTTAACATTGGCTGTTTCCCACCATTTCCACATTTGTGTACCTGTACCAAAATAAACTTAAACACTGTGCTGGCTTGCAGGTACACATTAAAATCACTAAAAATGTCTTATTAGTCTTGAGGACACCATATTAATAATGATGATAATTTTTTTGTTTTTTCAACAAGTCGGCCGTCTCCCACCGAGGCAGGGTGACCCAAAAAGAAAGAAAATCCCCAAAAAGAAAATACTTTCATCATCATTCAACACTTTCACCTCACTCACACATAATCACTGTTTTTGCAGAGGTGCTTAGAACACAACAGCTTAGAAGTGTATACGTATAAAGATATGTGGTGAGGGTCTCTTGATCTAGGGAATTGGATCTGTGCTCCAGGTCCCTAAATTAATAATAATGATACAGACTTATATACTAATAATAATGATAATACATAATAATAATTATATGTAATATAATAATAATACAGTGGTCCCTCGCTTTTCGTAGTTCTCGGCAATCGTAAATTTCGCCAGTCATAGGGATATTTTCGTATAAACATGGGCTCGCTTTTCATAGGTTGACTCACGAGTCGTAGTTCGTCCGGGACGCGTACCCACGGCGTGAGCCGTGGCGGCAGCCAGTCTGGCATTGTTTACCAGTGAGCGAAGGTCCCCTCACGTGCTCCAGCAAAATATTTCATAATATTCCATTTATTTTAGTGCTTGCAAGTATTAAATAAGCTACCATGGCTCTAAAGAAAGCTCCTAGTGCCAAGCCTGTGGTAAAGAAGGTGAGAAATACGATTGAATTTAAGAAAACCATCACTGAACAATATGAAAGTGGTACAAGTGTGGCCGAACTGGCCAGGATGTATGAGAAACCCTACACAACCTTATGTTCCATAGTGGCCAAGAAAAAGGAAATCAAGGATGCTGTTGTTGCAAAGGAAGTAACTATGCTGACAAAAATGAGATCACCAGTACTGGAAGAGGTTGAGAAGTTATTATTGGTGTGGATAAATGAGAAACAATTAGCAGGAGATACTCTTATGACTTTGATTATTTGTGAAAAGGCTAGGCAGTTGCGTGACGATTTGGTAAAGAAGTTGGCTGCAACTAGTGGTGATGTGAGCGAATTTAAGGCCAGCAAAGGCTGGTTTGAGAGATTTAAGAACCGTACTGGCATACACAGTGTGGTAAGGCATGGTGAGGCTGCCAGTTCGGACCACAAGGCAGCTGAAAAATATGTGCATGAATTCCAGGAGTACATAGAGGCTGAAGGACTGAAACCTGAACAAGTGTTCAATTGTGACGAAACAGGCCTCTTTTGGAAGAAAATGCCAAAGAGGAAAAGGCAATGCCAGGACACAAGCCTATGAAAGACAGGCTGATGCTAATGTTCTGTGCTAATGCTAGTGGGGATTTCAAAGTGAAGCCATTACTAGTGTAACATTCAGAAAATCCCAGAGTGTTCAGGAAAAACAATGTTATGAAGAGTAAATTGTGTGTGTTTTGGAAATCTGATAGTAAGGCATGGGTCACGAGGGAAATTTTCGTCGAGTGGTTCAATGAAGTGTTTGGCCCTAGTGTGAAGGAGTATCTCCTGGAAAAGAAATTGGATTTCAAGTGCCTGCTAGTAATGGACAATGCACCTGCTCATCCTCCAAACTTGGATGACCTAATTTTCGAGGAGTTTGGGTTCATCACAGTAAAGTTCTTGCCCCCGAATACCACTCCTCTCCTCCAGCCCATGGACCAGCAGGTCACTGCAAACTTTAAAAAACTCTACACAAAAGCAATGTTTCACAGGTGCTTGACTGTGACCACAGACACTCACTTGACCCTAAGGGAATTTTGGAGAGAACACTTCAGCATCCTCCATTGCATAACCCTTATAGGTATGGCTTGGGAGGTAGTGACTACCAGGACTTCAAACTCTGCCTGGAGAAAATTGTGGCCAGATTGTGTCGACAAGAGGGATTTTGAAGGGTTTGGGACTGACCCTGATGAGCCTATGTCTGTTG